CTGTTGCCCCTCGAACTCTCTGAGGTAAGGTTCTGCGTTAAGAATGATACATTTTGTCGTACTTTTACGCGTAAACCTTATGAAATGTGAAAATAAAATTTCACAATGGTCAATGACTTATCCGATGTGTTTTTTTGCGATGAGTCGATTGGTATTTTTATACTTCAACTGTCACGAGAAAATGACCTAGTCCTATCAAACCAATTTTTGTTGTTTTTTGGTTCCGAAATTTATGAATAGTGGGATTTGAATTTTGTAATTTATAATTTTTTAACTAGATTTATTTCAAACTGAAAGACTATAGCTTCATATTATTTACCATGCACTTCGTCGTTCGTTCACCTTCCACTTATTAGTCTTATTTTGTTTGTTTTTCAAGCTTGCGTGAGTTAATTAAATTTGTCATCGATATAAATGATTGCAATAGAAATGCATGTTGAAGTATTTTCTGTTTTATTTAGCATGTGATGAATGTCTGTTTAATTCTAATATTAAATTATATAATACAACGATTGCAGAAAATTCTCTTTGATCAAATTGAAAGTGTCATGTTTTAATATACCTATCTTGAAGATTAACACTCGTTTATATATATAAACGAAATAATTAATAAAAATCTTTTGAACGGATAAACTTCAAATAGTCGCCCGATAAGTGCAATGAAAACCAATAAACGTTTAATGCGATAATCATTCTTTGGTTTAAACATAAAGATCCAAACGGTAAAAACTGAAAATTAACGTAAAGCATGCGTAGGTTAGGTTCAAAATGTACAATTTGAGATTTTTTTATAAATAAAATATGGTTTGTTTTGTTAAAATCTTAATTTTAGTATAACCTATTTTTAAAGAAGGTCAATGACATTTGAATATAACAAACAAAATGAGCTTATCATTATAAAACCTCTAAATGTATTATGAGTATTCATTTTTGAATAGCGTATGACATTAATTAACTCTTTATTAATGTGGGTAATGTCATTAAAATACAAAACTGATAAATAATTTATGAACATAATTTATGTTTTGTTTTTAATATAGATAATATATTTTCAAATACTGTTATTGTCATAACAATGCTAGTATTATTTAACCTAACAACAATATTGAAATTTATCGTAAATTTGGGATGCATATTTTGTAATTTTTAATGATAAAAAATAAAATAATAAATAGATTTTAAGCTCATATTATTAAATTATAATTATATAATATATCATTCGAAGTTTTAAACGCCTAATATGGGCTTAAATATGTATTCTCATAATTATCGTTTAGATAAAATAAACTTTAGCTGGCAACGAGCCATCAAGGTCATGTGACTGGAAACGGCAACAGACACAATATTTGTCGTCAAAAATACGATACGTGTCAGCGTTGGTATATAGGAGGGTTGAAACAGTGGCGACGAATAGACTTAAATCCGCCGAAAAATCCATACGACATTAAAGTCCCGGGAACGATCTAGTGCATAGAACAACTACACAGTATAAAAGTACACACACAAAAAAAAAAAAAAACACACACACACACATACATACATATGTATATTATAACTAATGTCTAATGGATCTTGTGATTTTTGGCTCGAGAAAATGGGTGCGCGGTATAGTAATGCATCCCCAAGGCTAACAGTACAGAAGCGTCAATACGTGTAGTACTGCACTGTACGCTCTATGCCTCTATAAACCGTTGTATAATTTGTCTAAAAGCTTTTTCGCCAAATTGAATCATGTGGAAGACGCGAGGAAAATCACGAAATACGTACGTACTTACACCTACTTGTATTCTTCGCATATAATATCATCTCTCTGGTCACCGATTTGACGGTTAACGTAATACACATTTATGTGTATTTTATAACGTGTATACATACGTCATTTCATAGTAGTAAATAGTATTAGTATTGTAGTAGTAGTAGTAGTAGTAGTATATAGTAGAAGTTAGAAGTATGTAGAAATAGTACCGGAGAATTTTAAATCGCATTTGAATGTCTCGAAAATACAATAAAGTCGCTATTTAAGAGGACGCCAAAACCACATGTTTCTAACCATCTAACCTTATCTGTCGTCTCCGTCTCACAAACGTATAGTATATAAAATATTAAACTTCAGCCAAACCATTATTGTATTGTTAACTTTAACATCAGTGAATTATCTAATTATCAAATTTAAGTGTAAAAATATTGTCTAATATGTTTTGTTGATGTTTAAATTTTGAAACGAGTTCTGATCGTTTAAAAATTATAATGATTTATAATGTTATAACTAACTACAAAATACAAATTGTTACTAATAAAAGCCTACATTAATAGATTTATTTATTTTAACTTTAACTTAACATCATAAAATTGGTCTATTGAACAATTTTCCATGGATCATATTTATTAGACAGAGATAACACACGGGGTATCCTGTGAACAGTTGATGTAGTTCTCAGTAATTAATACTTTTGAATAGGTCTCTAGATGTTGATATAGTGAGTATTTTGAAATCATAATCGATTTGAACGCTCAACTATCAAAAATATTGACTGCAGTGGAGAAGTACATTTTTATTTTTATATATAATTATGTGCTATACTTTGCATAACTATATATAGGAATCCGCAATGTTTTAAATGGAAATTTTTAAAATAACAGTTTTAACAAAAATATTGATTTTTCTACACACAATATTGCTAGGTAGATTTTAAGAGAAATAAAATTATGACCTTCGCTCTGGGAAATATCGTGCTGTATACGATTTCTATATATATATATATATATATACATATAGAAATATAGTGTTACGTACGCTCATACATTCGTAATCGCGCTTTCCTATTATTCATATATTTCGCGTACCATCATGTCAAATGTATAGCAGCGTAACTGAATGATTTTTTATTTTCTACCTTGACAAACACGTTTTAGAATATTGTGTGCATCGCAATGACAACTACGATAAATTGCAACCAATCGGTAGCACCAAATCTATAAAAAACGCGCTCAGCCAATATTAATCTTATATTATTATTGTGTACTATAACTGTGTAAAATAATAATAAACACCAAATAATTTTCTTCTCCAGCTCAACCATTTTTTTTTTTTTTTTAATGTATTTGTGTTTTTTTGTTTACCAAAGTTTTTCCATACACTGTACGGAGTTGAAGGGATCACCAAAATAAATAATGGAATCCTCGGCAATACTTCAGTTGCATTACCTACTTTTCAGAATTAGAAGACTAGGTACGTTTGCTACTACTCATCTTTTTTTTTCTTTTCATCTCTCTATACTTCTTTGGATAACACGCGATGTCTTTTACTTGTTATATTACTTATATATTATTATATTGTTATTTATATTATATTGCTATATAACACACTCTCACACTCACAACGCGATATGCCAGTTGGCGATTACATTTTTATATTTTTGCTTGAGCCGATATTATTGTTATGGTTTATTAATTACTATCATTATTTATTTGTTTATATAATCTTTAAAGAATCGTTTTATTTTCTAAAAAGGAAAAATGTATATGGCATGATAATTGACACGATTGACAAATATTTATAGTTAACCAAAAGTATGTCGATGGTCGAAAACTTAATGTAATTTATAACAGAAGCGACAAAAACATTTCGTGGTAGCCGAATACTGTCCCAACAACTTAATTTGTTTTACAAAATGGTAATGATTACCCGTACATCGTTTGCCGTACTTGCCGTACTTAAGATAATTTATCATGGTAATAACTTTGTTCCTAACACATTTCCGTTGATAATCGTCACACTCACGAGAGATACGGTGAATTTTGTTTATACAAAACTCTTACGTCATCAAGAGCTGATAACATCATCACAAACTCATATTAAGTTAAGAAAAACACAGAAGTTTTAAATATATTTTATTAAATGACTAATCGTTATATTAGATAATATCAATGGATGAATACGAAATACCTAATTATTGACAAATTTCCATAAAGAATTTCATGGAAAATCTGCCGCAGCTGTTTGCCATGACGTAAAAAGTATGTTGTTCTATTTTAATATACTATGTATAATGTTATTATTATTAAAAAAATATTATTAATATTATAATTATTATATGACTAAATGTCATACAAAAATAAAATAAAGTACCGAAATACTTTAAATAATTTAGTACAGCCATTTTCATCTATACGATAAATCAAAACTAAAAATTAAATTTACAACATTTTTTTCGAAACAATTGCATGAATAGCATACAAAAAATTATATATTTTCATTTGATACTATAGGTTTAATTTTACTTATTATTACTACATTTTAAGAGGAATGTACATTGTATTTTCGGAACGTCTTATACTATTTTCGTGTATGCCATTAATTTGTTTAATTTTTTTTTTCTATTCAATTGCTTACGCAAAATAAAAATATGCATGGATGCATTGTAACGAATTCGTAATTATTTGCATGTATTGCACTACGCAAAAATAAAAGAAATAATGACCGTATGCGGGCCATTAACGTGGATGCGATACCTACAACGGTGAGAATATCTTCGAGTGTTCGCACTTAAAAACCGTGACTGTTATTTCGCGGGTTTTCGAGACCACTGAATAATTAATATTTTACCCAATGATTTTGTAATCGAATTGCCGACAGTTGTTTTGTCCAGATTTAACGTCGTAGTGATCAAAACAATAAAAATTTTCCCGCGCATCCGTTGGCGTCTCGTGGTCTGCGAAAGATCGAGATCACAGTCGCGGCCAATTCACACGTGTATATTGTGGGCACGCACCATGACAGAGTAGTCGTCCTTGCTGGTGTGTTTGACAGGCAAACCGTGAAGAGATGCCTGCGACTTGTGAGACCCGTGCGTGCGTGTCCATGGCCAGGCTGTAAGGGGGGAGGAGAATGTATGCTTATAGGGAGTAGAGACGAATTCAATTAACTTAATATTAATTGTTAAGCAACAAAAATATGGTCTCACTGCAGTGGCGTGAACCGTTTACCGATCGTTAAAATACTAGGTTAAACGCAAATACCTACATCTTGAAGTTTATATAGATTACTTTGACAGTGTAATTTTCTATATATATATATATATATATATATATATATATGCATATACGTATGTTTAAATATAAATTAACGTTCTTAAATGTATATTATCATTGAAGTATTTAGCAAGTGGTACTCGAAAAATTATTTTCTTAGTTGCCTATACGACATTATACACATGCGCTGTGATGCACTAATTATAAACAAACAAATATTGAATTAAAACATTAATCAACTCAATGGTCTCAATGAAGAATATATATTATGTATACTTTCTTAAAATATTCGAAGCCGAAAATCATAAATGATGTTGTAAATTACTCAACTTACAACTTTTAATATATGTGCGATTGACTAGCAAGTGATGTCCATTAATAATAGATTACCACTGAGGAAACTTTCAACTAGGAAAATAGTTTATCGAGCAAAAATGAAAAAATTACACGGAGCTATGAGAATTTTTCCCCCTACTATGAAAGAAGGAAATGGGTTAGTGAATAGTGCAATCCAACAGAAGTTAATGTTTATTGGTACAGTGGTATAAGTACATGGAAATTAACAAAAAGTAAATGCGTTGCAATGGTACACGTCTTACAAATAAGAGCAGAACGATTGTGGAAGCGATTTCTGGATACGTACTAATGGAAAAAAAAAATAAACTGTTTCAACTATCCGACGGATCTCCTCCAGTCGCTGTTGTCTCGGGTTAGAGATATCAATCAGACTTCAACAGTCAGTACAGGCGTGTACGGGTCGGCGTGGTGGCGGACATTGCGTCCGGTTATTCCTGTAACGACCGGGAGGCCAATTACCGGACACATAAAAAATATTTGCAGTTCCGAATTCGGTTAAATTATTTATCGTCCGGCTGCGGCGAAGGGTCAGGGATGTTGGGTGTAGGAGAGACGTGCACGCACACCGAATAAATTCGTGTCCAATGGGCCACGGGTGTGCACGTTATATTATGATTATTATTATTATTACGGGGTCTTCTCAGGGACTCGAAAAATATAAAACAAAAATATACACCGGTATAATTTACGATCAGCGGGGCAGAGGGCCTAGAAATTTCTCACGCCACTGTAAAATATTAACCATATAGTCTTCTCTCTCCCAGCAAACCACGTGAATTATTATGAAAACGCCCAGCATTATGAAACAATATGTTATATATTACATTTGGCTGCTGTGAACCGACGGGAGGTATAAAATTTGTTAAATCGCACGCACATTTTTATTCGTAATAATAACGATAATATAATTATGATGTAAATCCGTTATAGTGCCCGTCAGAGTAACCGTATTGTACCATGTTTAACTATGCTGAAGCAATCCGATACACGATTGTTTCACACTTATAACTTGAATTAATTATGTACACCGGTAAAAGCGAAAATTATACTAATTATATTTATATACGCACGCTAATACATGTGTTTTATTTGACTTAGAGTCAACAATTCTGTTACAGTGGATTTTGTGATATAAAAGTGTATAGAAATAGAGTTTAATGAATTAATCAAATAAATTCATTGCTGGTTAAATTTGAATAATTTTATCATAGATTTTGTTAAATATCAAATAGATAAAATTAGCGTTACAATTATTCGATGATTGGGTATAGTCTATAGCCAGAGTGTAGTAAAATGTAATAAATATTTAAAATGTAATAACAGTTCAATAAATTGATATCTGAATTCAATGCGAACTACTATTGAATTGGTAAGATTTAAATTAAATAAATTCTTAACTAATTTTTGAGTTTTTAGCCAAGAAAAAATTTTACTTTTATTTAGAATTAAACCAATCATTGATGATTGAATTAAGCATTTAGAATTTTTTTTCAACTAATTTTTATGTTCTTATAACGTTTTACTATGTATATTTTTATTTTATTTTTTTCTTCTACTCTTTTGATACACAATAAATAGAATTGTATTTAACTTATAAACACGTTGTAAGAGATTTAAAACTATGCGTGTCATTAACCATTTAGAAATACAACACTTTAAAAAAAACATAAAAAAGTACTAATTTTTAAATCTATATATTACAGCAGGCTTAAGAAAATTACATGTTAATGATGTAAGTATCGAATAACTTAATTAACAACTAATTAATAGAACGGAACTGTTAAATATTAATAGCGTAGTCAATTTTTTTTACTACTTTTTTACTTCTATTTTTAGTTCATCTTTAACACGTTTGTTAAATGTGTGATTACAGCTTTGAAATGTTAACTTTTGAGGACGAATTAATCGTTTTTACGAATTTCCATTTAAAAATATAATATTCACGTTTACTAGGAATTAACAACAATTATATTTTGGATTTAGTTTCTCGAAAACTATTTATAATTTCATTTCACTGTCACAGTTGCTGGGTTTACCTTCAATTACTTATTGTGTAACGAATTACCCACCTATTTATTATTCATTTTATGTTATTTTAAATTATTCTGTACATTACTTATTTTTATAATTAACAGAAAAAAAAATCTTTTTTGTTTACTTTCAATTAAACTAGGTATTATAAATTAAACTGTTTACATAGTTAAGAAAAAATATTTATTTTTGAAGTTTTTTAGTTTAATAATTGATTTAAATACTTGTTTTTAACGTAACTATTAATTTTTTAATTCAAAAACTATTATGAACAATTTTTATGCATGTAAAAACATATATATTCAGAATTAATAAAAAATTTAAAAAAAAAAACATGTAACGCGGAATAATCGAATAAATTATAAATCATAGTATACATTTTCTGACGGTATCGGACTACTTTCCTAGAACTATTTGATAGGGTTTAATATTACACAAACAAAACATTCTTAAATTTATATTAAACTCTATAACTCTATTTGATGATATTTAAAATTAATCAAAACCTATTTCGTATTTATACTCAAAAGTTAAAATACTATATCACATTTCAATCTATTTTAAAAATTAATATCATGTTCATATAACAGCTGAGAAAATTGAAACAATAATTTGAAAATCAATAGATTGCCCTTACATTAACTACAAACACATTTATTTTATCCAAGTATATAAGTACATCTCATAATTTAGCGATAACAAAATACTACAGTAATACTAACAATTTAGCAACAAAACACTGCAGTAATATTAATAACAATGATATAATAAACAAAATAAGAAGGCAATAATTTAAATAAAATATAGCAT